TCACTCTTTCTGTGCAACACTTAATCACTGAAAGGGTTGGAAGCAATTATAAAACCTCGCTCCGTGACAGTTTGGAAGTGTCGGGAAACACTATATGCTGGCTAACTGTGATAATGATATCACGAGTTTTGAGCAAGTCCTAGTATGAGGCTCTCTACTCACTCTTGTTTTGGACAGAGTCAGTTTTATTCTGCATACTACTATAATGCTTTGAAGAATGGTTACTTGTTGATATAGTCTCGCTTAGAAACTTATTGTGGATATTCTTCTTGTAGGGTGAATGCTGGTTTGAACCCAAAACACCTTCCGTACATTCTTCAAACGAATCTACTTCTAACAGTGTAGAAATTCTCAAAGAAATGCTCAGAACGTTGGACGATAATGCATTACGTTTTGGTAGAGGCTGCGTTTACAAGGATCACGTCATGGTTTCCAACAGGCAGCCAGATTACAACTTCTTCAGTTCTCGAAAAGCACATTATAAATAGTTACATACGAATAATACCATCTATTTCTGGTTTTGTGAATTTGAGTTTGCCTGCATAGCGAAGATTTGCAAAGGGAAGAAGATTTGTAAATGGATAAAGATCTGTAAAGGGTAAAGGAAAGGAAATGTACTCCTGTACTTCTGTGCCTTAGTTTGGTTGATAACAAAGTGAAGGTGATTTAGTGATGCTCCTTTTTTATCTTTTCGATCATGTACTTTGTTGTATGTCTCTTCGTATCTATCTTTCTTATCATGTAACTTGTTGATCCCATGACGAAATAATTAAAGGAGATATGAAACCGAAGATAACTAAGAATCTCTTCCCACGAGAGAGAGTTCGTCATCATAGCTTGCTTTTGATACAAAAACCTTTAACTAATATCAGGAAACATGTGAAATTCCAAGGCTGCGAAACGAAGAGTTGGGTACCTTTTTGTATCATCATTATTGTCGTTGGTGCCCTCTTTTTATGGTCTGTACTTAGATCCAGTCATTCCTTGTGACTTGTATTGGTGTTAAGAAACTGCCAGAAGGCAGAGTTGCAGTGCCTTAATGGCCAATTAAGTTTGAGAATGATTTGTATGTTACAGCTATACAGTGATATTTCGTGCTAATAATAAACGAACATATGTTAGTTTTGCCCTACATATATTAATAATATAGAACATCATCATAAAGGTATACCTGTGAGTGGCCCCAAGTCAACAAGATTCTTTGTTTTGTGAGGATCAGGTGGGGGTTTGGAGGAATATCTATCGTACGCAGTCGTACTCTTACTTTGCAAAGATTCTGCTTCTACGACTCAAACTCTTGATCTTTCGATCATCAAAAAATAATTTTTATGTTTCGCCAAAACTTACTCTCATCGTCATAACAGTGTACTTATAACATGAAAATTCCTCTTCAAAATTGTTGGATGCAAAAAAAGGAATATGTGTGATTTATGGGGTTTTTATTAAGTGAATGGCCCAACACTTTTCTTTTTCTCTAGCTTTTGCAATGAATAAGTTGATAAAGCAGAGTACCCTGTCCCTTTCTTTCTGATCTTCCTTTGACAGAAAAACTTTTAAGTAAATCCCTGCCTAGCCACTTGATCTTTTATTAATCAAAGTAGAGAAAAAGAGCAAAAGACAAACCTTTTTGTTTGGATTTGATTTAATTAAAGAAAGAGAAGGAAGGAAAAAACCAATACTTCTTCTCAGAAAATCATATATGGTACCTACCTTCTTCTATAAAAAAATCTGATTATATCACTGATTGTATATAATTATGTGTATTATCTTATCATATAATTTGCTTGATGAGAAAAAATAAGCACATATAACTATACAATTGGTGACGCTTAAGAATCTCTCATTCTCTACTATTGATAAGTTATATAATTCGGTTAGATTAGCCACTTAAACTAAGGTCTAATTATTCCTCTTCATTAGTAAGTGAGAGGTCTTAAGTTCGATTCTCGTTAAAGCTGAATTTGAACCACATTATTGATAAAATAAAGTTAATGAATTTATTTGATTGAATGTTGAATTTGTTGTATACATTACTTATCACATAAAGTATAGTTAAAAGTGATCTTTTATTTTACTTTAACATTAGAATATCTCCAAATGAGACGTCAAAATGTCTAAATCTGTTGTATACATCACTTATCACAACATAAAGTATAAAAAGGTGATCTTTCATTTTACTTCAACACTAGAATATCTCTAAACGAGATGTCAAAATGTCTAAATCAGTAATAACAGTTAAAAAAAGCAGCAGCAACGTTTTCCAATTGAAAAACCAAGCCTAATGTGGGATGACATGGATTGACAGCTATCACCCTTAATACCGAAATACAGCTTAAAAAAATCTATCGATTATTAAATTCATTTTATTAATTTATTATTGTTTTAAAACATTTAGTATAATAATTTAATTTAATAAAATAATAATTTAATTTGACATATCGAGTGGCAAGCAAAACTTAAATGATATCAAACTGCCATAAATTTATGTTTAAAATTTTACATCTCATTTGAAAATGCTCTCAAACCCTTCACAGGTAACAATTACTTCAACTACCTGCAATCCACGTGGCAAACAACCCATTTAATATATTGAAGAATAATATTATGACAGGCTCAGTAATCTTATGACAAAGGAAGTTTCTAAATCTAACCATCTTCATGGATTTTGGTAGGGTAGTAAAGAATTGGACCCCTCCTTTTAATGCTATTTAAATTTTGAGATCTTTCGATATTATTGATAAGATCAGTATCAATGGCGTGGTTTAAATCCAGAAGGGTTTGGCTATAAAGCCAAGAGGACAAACTGTAGAAAGTAGTAACAAAAAAGGACATGTAACCATGTGTGAAATGTTGCCAAAAATGATAAAATTTAGGTCCGTTTAAGTCACTGTGCATGTAAATTTCCGTCGTCTTTTTCTTTGATAAAAATACACCGGTAAAATAATAACACCTTCGATTAAGGCTAAAGCCTCATGCATGCCCATGATGAATTAGGAGGAGGGGGTGGGAGTTTGGCCAAAGAATCTCCGATTCCAAAGTTAGTATTATGAGAATAAAGTATTTTTAGAAGTTTGTGGGTAACAAATGGTTTAACATTTTAGTAGGATAAGTGGGATATTTATAGGATGATGGCCGGCCATTAGGGTTGGGAGTGGCCAACCATATATAGTGAATTTGAGTGGAGTAATTCAAGATATTATATGAAATAATATTTTGAAATTACTATGGTAATTATTCTAAATTGAATAAGGGATTTTAGGAGTTACCTTATTGAATGAAATCAATGAGGGAATGATGAGTGCTTTGAATAAATTCTATAATAATCACCTTTGACTATTTCTTGGATAGAGGGAATCTTGAGTCGTTATTGATTGTTGCATGTGCGTGGGAATTCGGGTGTGCCTTGTCCATCTAACAAGGGTAATCTTGTCTTTCTTGTAAAAAAATCCGTGTAACAACTCCAAAATTTTTGGGAATATTTTTTGGCTCCACAACCACTATTCTAAAAATTCTTGCCTAGAGTAGCCTAGGCGTTAGGCGACTGACCACCGTCTCGATTAATCCTAGGCGTTTGAAAATTAAGAAAGAGCTCCTAGACCTGCTTAGGCGGCCGCCTCAACCGCTTAAGGCCCCGCCTAGTCAGTCCAGACCCGCCTAGGTTGCGACTTTCACTTAGATAGAGAGTATATAACTTTCATTTTGTATTTTATTTTTTCCAATAAGTTATAAGAAACTTGTTAAATACTTAGATGAACACACATTATATGCTTGCTTCTCATGTTTTCATTATATTCCAATACTTTATAATCAATAATTGCATTCTATTTTATAGTTTATGTATCCTAATGAAATTGTGTCTTTTTGAATTATAAGAAGATACTTATTTATACAACTCATAATAAATTTACTTAAATCTGCCTGGTCCACCTTAACCCCCATCTAGTCCATCTAAGCCCCCACCTAGTCCACCTATACCCCCACCTAGTCCACCTAATCTCGCTTAGATGCTAAGAACCAACCCGACACCCGACTAATGCTTAGTGCCTTGTAGAACCTTCATTTAAGCACATTATATGCCCAAAGCACCAGCCCATTGAACAAAAACAGATAATGCATTGATTTCTAAGATGCTTTGGAACTTCCTCAATAAACAATGTGGTGAAATTAAGAGAAAAAAGGTTGTCTTTAATAAATAAATAAAGATGTCAAAAAATAAAAAATAAATAAATAAAGATGTGCAATGTGTATCAGCATCAATTGCAGTTTATGTGCACGTTCTTATAAAATTTTAGAGGTGTGCTATCTAGATACATTTTTTTTAACTTTTGGTACGTAGTTGGATCGAATAAATTGAAAAAGGTCAAAGAACAAAAATTAAGAAAAGGTATGTGGGAAATAAAAATAAGTTTGCGAATAGCACAAGCCAAAATTTTACGGCTAAAATCTACATTGTCAGAACTACCAAGCATTGGATGTTTATAAAATTTGATTAAATAATGACTAGTGACACTATAGGGAGGTTGAAAGAAAAACTAGGAGTGATTATGCCTTATCACTAGAGATATATTACATGATGAATGAGACACTCACGAGCAAGGACATACAAGCAGAGTAAAAACAGTCCGTGTCTTTTGATATATCTTCTGTTACAACCAAGACAATTTAACACATACACACGCTTTCAATTTCCCATCAGACAGCTCTCACAAAAATATGAGATTTCATGTATTTTGATTCCATGTTCATTTCTGATATGAGATCTATCATAATATCAAAAAATCCTACCAAAATTTCTCATATTCATTAGTTTATGCACTAGTTCTTATTAAGTTTTACTCCTTAAATCAAAATCCAAAATGACCATATCATGATAAGGTGTGCCAAATCTCATAAGCACACCTCTCACAAAGCATGTAATCCAATGGGTGAGACACTCTTACATTGCGGTCGATAAATACGCGACAAGAGGGAGTGAAAGTAAAGCAAGAGAAATTCATTGATTGCGTACTAAATATAAATTCGTATTTTTTTATATATCACTGGTTACAAGTTACAACCAAGATTTTCTTCGACACGAATACCGCTTCCAATTTTCTGTGGCATGGCTAGCATGCATTATATATATAACTTAACCACATAAAACTCACAAGTCTCAAGAAAACAAGCAAAACATAGAAGTAAATGTAAATACAGAATGTTCTGTGTTTTCTCCTCAATGTACCACAAGGAACCTACACAATTAAAACCTTGATGTCCTTTCCAACCACAAAAGCTGCATCAAACACGAAACAGAGAATTTTCACGTCAAAAACTTAATGCCCCCTCTCTGTCTGGTGGCGGTGGTGGTGGTTCTTCCTATCAATAAACCCTTCCATAAGTACCCTCTTGTTATTATCCTTACACTCCGCCTCCGACCACCTCCTCACATATTCCGGCGAGATTGTACTCGAACTCTGCCACGGAAAAAAGTAGATCCAAATTGATGAGACAAGGATTGCAATCGCCTTGCCCCAAAATACCGTCACTGCAAGGCTGATGAGAAGAAAATATGTTCCAGAGTTGAAACAGTAGGACCCCACTTTCGTGTTCTTCGGTTTCGCGGCGGGGTTGTTAGGATTCCCGAGGCTCTGTTTCGTCGGGTCCGAGAGAGTTTTGGACAACCTTTCGGATTCCGAAACCGAACTCGAAGAAGATAATGCGGATAATGATGAACTGGAAGAACGAGAATGTAACGACATCTCAGAATTTGGCTTTGTTTCTTCAATTACTTTCACCGACTCATCGCCTCCCAAATTCAGGGACGCCTCATTTCTGAACGAAAAACACCGCTTTGATCCGAACGAGTCCTGCCGGCAAACTTTCCGATCACGATCTCTCTTAGCCTGCAAAATACCAAAAACAAAACCATGGTTAAAATCGAAAAACAAAAACAACCCAAAATCTATAATCCATCAAAGATTGAGGATTTCGGAACACTGACCAAGATTGTTTCGAACACTACGGCTTTCACCGCCTTGGAAAAAGTTTTGTTCGGATGCGGAGGCATATTCGAGTTCTCAGAATCTGCCGGAGAAGAACACCCTCTGTCCAGAGACATTGTTTTCGTCAGCGGAGCCGCCTTCTTGTCCTCCCTGGATTCAATAGTCCGGACCTGTCTCCTCCGGGAAGCTTTGGTCTGGAGCACCATGTCCACGTCCACCGGTCGGAAACAGTGCAGAAACTTGGGTTTTGACTTCGAAACGTTTTTCATCATTATGTCCGTTATCAACAACAAAAAGAAACGCCTAAACGGGCTTGTCTAAGATGGGATAATTATTGGGGTTAAGGTTTTGGTCAAAACAAGGAAAGAGCAAGAAGGGATACAGAGACAATCTGTTTTCATTTGGGAGTTTAGGGTGTTGGAGGCCAGCATTGGTGTCTTGTTCATTTACCGGACAACGAGTGGTCGGTTGGAACTTCAGACTTTTTGGAGTTACGTACGAGGGTGTGTGTGTGGGGGTGTTTTATGCTTATCTTGTTTTCTCTCTCTTAACTAGAGTGTACCATGTGGAGTTTATTTATCAAATCATTGTAAAAATAAAATTTTAACGAAAATCTTCTAGTACTGTTTATTTTAACGAAAAATCATATTTTTACACTTAAAATCAATTCTAGTACTATTCATTTTACTCTTTATTTTGTCATTATCGTTAAAACTCAAAGTTTTTAAGTCATTTTCATTAGTTTTTCTTTGTAAAAATGCTAAAGGCAATCCAAAAAAGTTGAAAACTTTTGTCACATAGATAATTTATATGTTATGTTAGTGACTCAATATTTTGTTTTTAGATTAGTTGATTTTTTTTTATTCTCGGTTGGATACTCATATTCTAACTCAAATTAATTATAGGATTTGATTCAAGACATATATGCTTGTGGTGAGTTTAGTGTTTCGTGCAATTAAAACACACAATAGGTAACATAACCTGTAGTTTAGGTGTAATTGTTCATCAGATTTCTAGTAGAGATAAGGCAACTCTGACTGCATGTTTTCTTAATAGGAATCCTTCAAATTTATGACTTTATTGATTTAGTAAGTAAACACGTCCTACACTAAATTCTTAGAGACAATTGATTGTTGTTTATGTCTTTGGATTGTGATGCGCCATATGAAGAGATGTGTTGAGAATATATATATATATATATTTTTTTGCTAAGGGTTGGATTAAAATTAAATACAAATCGAAATGTTTACATCAAAAGTCATAGTGTTAAACAACAACTCTGGTTCAAAACCATCCCAAGAATGACTACCCCCATACACACGACATAAGATGCCACCATATGCACAACCTTATTACAGGCATGAGGAGCATATAGAAAAATAAAAGATAAGTCTTGCATTAAATGTTAACAAGACTTGAACCTGTTCACCTATTGCCAATTAATTTTGAATTGATTGTTAATTATTGTGAGAACCTTTTAACTAGGAAAAATTAGGTGCCCATTCCTACTTTTCTTACTCCATTGATTAAAACCTTATTCATTTTCAATTTTTGATCAAAATCCTTAGATTTTATTAAATGTCATTAATTATGTCAATAATAAAATATTTTTTCTTCTAAATATATTCATTTAGTGTTAGAAACATTACATTTTATATATTTATATTTATGGCTAAATTTTTTATCATATATTTTTATATTTAGTTTGTACCCATTTTTATTTTGCAAGCATTTTTTAAGTCATACCAATTTTCTTTTCAGCTTTAATTTGTACCCATATATTAATTCATTTTTATGCCCATATTTTTTAAACTTTTGTTTGTATTTGTACCCATTTTTTATTTTGCTAAATGTACCCATGCTAATTATATGTATTTATTTTATGTATTAAAATATATTAATAGTTATTTTTTAAATATGTTAATAATTATGTGGGTAAATTACTTTTTTTTTTTAATTTTTGTGAAGAAAAATATTACTCTAAAATTTCTTTTTAACTATTTATTATATTTTAAAATATTATTTGAATTTTTTTAAATTTCATAATTTGTGGGACATTAAATTCATAAATGCATGAGTTAAATCTCTTAAATGAAGCTAAAGATTTCGATCAAAATATTTAAACAAATAAGATTTCAATTTAACAATTAGATTGATTAAGAATCGGAACCAAAATGACCATTTTAACTACATTTGCTTTAGGACCTTTTCAGCACGGGAGACAAGTTTAGGGTTACAAGTTATATAATACTTATTTGTTTTTGGGAAGGGAGGAGATTAATGGGTTCTCAATTTAATTGAGTTGGTTGGTGTGGTTGAGACTTATGGTTTGAGTGTTTGACATGGTGGCAAGTTAATGGCCGTCCATTTAATTTGATTGGGGAGGTTTTTTACTCTGAGCACATTAGGTGGGGCAAATAATTAATAAGAATTTGACAAGTTTGATTGTCTTTTAGCATTTCCTTTCTGTTTTAGCTTCCTTTTGTGACACTAAGTATAATTATTGAATGCTTAAGAAGTTGAGTATTTCTTTTTTCTACTCTAATTATACTGTTGCCGAATAGAGATATTGATCTTGACATTGCATGATCCATTTTACTCACTTTAAAACGTTGTGCTACGATCAAAATAGAAAAACAAAACAATCTGTGTTGGCTTATAACATGTCGATACAAAGGAAAGCTAGCAAGAGCAATTGCTCAAGCCTACAGTCCACGGTCCATGCCAATATTATCATTTTTATGTGTTTATATTGGTACAAGTACTTCTATGTATATTGAGAATTAACAAGTAAATGGAAAGAAATGGGCCATAATGAAGTATTCAAATGTCTTTCATGTCTTGCACATCATGGTAATCTTTTCTTAGTACACAAGAGGTGGAAGATGAGTACTTTTACCAGTGTGGTGAGTACATCGGTAAGTTAAAGACAAGGAAAAAAAAACAAGATTCAAACTTGAGAGTAGGAAGACATTCACACTATCATGGACAAGGAAAAAAAAACAAGATTCAAACTTGAGAGTAGGAAGACATTCACACTATCATGGGCAACTGGATTAACTAACGTATGTGTTATCATTCTTTCTCCTAGTCTTAAAGTGGTTGTTGACCTACCGGTTAGTAAGTTAATACAGAGGTAATCATTTGTTTAGGCATATTTTACAATATTTTTCGTAATCTGAATCAACCATTTTTAAGGTTATAACCATAGAAGAAAATATCGATAATATCGACGAAATATCGCCGATATTATCGGTTTTTCAGGTAATGGATATTTAAATAGGTATCCAAATGGTTTTCGGTAAAATATCGCGATATTTTGGAAATATCGCGATATTTTTTAAACCTTGCTACTCGGAGAAGAACGCTGGAGCTTCTACAGCTCCGGCCAACCACAAACAAGGGTTCTAGACCCCGATCTAGGTATCAAACAAAAGCACGAGACGAGAGGAGTGTGTTTATACCTTCCATTTGCCGTGAAACGACCCGTGGTGGTCGGAAAACCTCTCGACACCCACGGTCTCGCCGGAGATGGGTGCGCCTATTCCCGGGCTGATTCCGTGCTAAATCCTTGGTAAAAAGGACAGAATAACCTCAATAATCACATCCAAGCAACAAACCAACACGGAAAGAGAGGTTCGAGGCTTACCTAACCATAACCCATGAAGAACTCGCCGGAGGTTCTTGGGGTTTCGTCGAGTTGCGCAGCGACGGGAGAGAGAGAAAGAGAGAGAAAGAGACGACGGCGTGTAGAAGGTGATGACGATGCCGTCGACGGAGTACCACGAAGGGTGTGCGTGGGTGCTCTCGGGTGTGGGTCAAAGGGTGAAAGAGTGAGGGTCTTCGAGAGAGGGAGAGTGAGTGCAGAGAAGAAAGAAGGAGAAAGAGGTCACGGGGTGGGGAGAGAGAGAGATACGTGAGGGTGCTAGGGTGCTGCCATGTGGTAGCTTGAGAGAATTTGGAAATCAAGATGAATGGTCCAGATTTGGTTAAGATAGAGGACTAAAACGATAATTTCATAATTATTTGGGGAACCACGAAAATATATAAAAATTTGGGGTTGGGTTGTTACAGTGTGTCTGTGCGTGTGTGTGTAGAAGTGGGGTGCACTTTGAAGTGTGTGTGTGTAGAAGTGGGGTGTGTGTGTGTTATCCGAGAGAAGAAAAAAAAAATCCAAACCTGCTTTCAAAATATCCAGGCTATGTGTCAGTCTGTGTGTGTTATCTGAGAGAAAAAAAAATGCAATATATAAAGTGTAAAATATTGTACTAATTCATTGTATATAATGATTGTGGTGTCTTTAAACTTTTTTCATTAATTACTACATATTTTTTACACTCACAATGTTTGCCAGCTCGCTATATAATCAATTTAAATCAGTTAAATCCATCATGCAATGCATTTCCTTCCAATTTTTTGTGATAAACTAATAGATAATTGACTAAATAAACATCTTGCAAAGTTTCAATTAAAATTTCCAAGTTTTTCTTACAATTTCCGTGATTTCCATGTAATTTTTATCGATATCGATATTTTACCGATATTTCCATCGATATTTCCGTGTTTTCGGACTACCGATATTTCCGATATTTCCGATATTTAATACCTTGGTTATAACTAAAAGATCATCCTTACAAACTTTAACTAAAATCGGAAGAAGTTTAGTTCGCTAATTGGGAGTTTAGAAGTAGATGAACATAATATTGTTGATAAACCATGAAATGTTCATGATAATGATTAAGTTAAGGGGGTAAAGATTTTTGCTTTGAGTTAATTTTTGCAAGAATGATTTATGAATAAGGACCTCAAAAATGAACGATTCAAATCAATGAAATTACTTTGTGGTGCAGGCCCAAAAATTAGTTAGCACCATATTAAGTTACTAACTAGTTAGCTATTCACCGCTTCTATTCAATTCATCAATAAATTGATTAACTAATCAAAGTTTGGGTAAAGATCAATGGCCCAACAAATTAAGGAAAGAAACAAGGAATGGCCTTAGGCCAAGAAACTCAAAGCCCCCAATTGTCATCTGGATTTTGTAGCCTGGATCCATGTAAGCATTGACCTAGCCCAACTGACTAGAAAATTAGGTTAGGACATTATGGATAGAAAAAAAGAAAACTTTAACGAAAAGCTCTTGGTACTGTTTATTTCAACGAAAAATCATATTTTTACACTAAAAAGTCAATTCTGGTACTATTCACTTGACCCTCTATTTTGTCCTTATTGTTAAAACTCAAAGTGTTCAAGTCGTTTTCATTAGTTTTTCTTAAAAAAATAAAAAGACTTCGGCTCAAGACTAAATTTCATCAGCACTGACTGGTGTTCATAAGAATTAGAAGAGTTGGAGTCAAGTTTCCCCACAATCAAACGCGCAAAGTATCACCATCGTTTAAACAAATTAATTACTGAGTTTAATTGAATATACATGCATGCATTAAGCTTGGATTACTGAAGTCGTTTTTCTTAAAGTATTGGAGTCAAGTCTGATCATCTGCA